GTAACACAGGCCTGACACAGAGTTGCAGAAAGTAATGAACAGCATAACGGTTGGGGGATCCTCTATCTTTCTTTAGCTTTTCTGTTGTGGTATTTTGCTTTCCTTGACTAGACCAGGAGAGCTAGCCACTAGCATTGTTATGAAACGGTTCAACATTAGAGATCTTAGCCTGGTGAGTGATAGTGGTATGGGTTCACTATGTATTGGCGCCACATATTTTTGCTGTGAACGACGTGGGCAGTACACATTCAGGAATATCAGATTGGACGCTTCACTTGATCATCAGTAGCTTCCGGTGTGCGCTGATGCCCTAAAGTCCAGGTCTACAATCCCTTTTCATGACAACGTGGGCACAGTGTGTTCAGAAAAGTCGGATCCATCACCTTGTAGCTTCACTGCGGATAGTGAAGGAACCAATGGTTGTGCAGCAACCAGTGAAATGTACCAGATTGTAAGTTCTGCAAATCTATGTGTTTCCAATTTTGTCTTGTTATTTGAAAATTTATTTGTTTGCCCTAGCTCTTTTTGGAATTGCACTTGGGGGTATTTCAGTAATTCCCTCAACTGGTAACTATTGTGGTAAAAAGGACTTGGCTGTCACCCAAATAGGGCTAAAAATAAGCCAGCTACCAATCCTTTCTGATGTTTCCATACTCTGACAGAAAAGTGGACAGATTACAGCGGTACAGGTCCACAGAAAGTTCTTTTTTTTTTTTTTTAGGCCAGGTCCAGAGTTTAGCAGACTGGATTGTCATGCAATGTGCCAATTCTTGAAATAGGTCAGGTCCAGTCCAGTCCAAAACGCATTGGTGGGAGCCCGCTAGGATGCTTGAATCCTCACGTAAAAAAGTTACAGTTCGACTCCCCTGGCGACCGGAGATGCACTCGTGCACTTGGGCTGGCTGCAGTAGCTGGTAATGGGAAGAGGTAGTGGAGCAGTGCTAGCCCTTCTAGGGCAGCAGAAGTCAGTAGGCAGCGGAGTACTAGCCAGTTACTAGTTGGGGCTCGAGGCTGGGATGGAAGGAGAGAGGAGGGAAAGAGTTGGAGGTGATTCCCTCGAGGCAGTTAATGGTTGTTCATTTGTGGTGTGGCGGTGCACGAGTCAGAAGGGAGATGCTGTAGCGTCCTGTTGGATACTTTAGTTTCTACTTGCACATTGTGTCCTCCGCAAAAGTAAAGCCTCACACATTGTGCCACTTTTCTACATGAAGTGCACTCCTTCCTGCAGACCATTATTCTTCCCTTCATAGTGAAGCAATCGACGGTTTCCCGTCATAGTGAAGTGATCATAGGTCAAGTACTGACAGCTCATCTCAAGACTTTATCTGCCCTTCCAGACGTACAATGTGAGCAGAAATTGGTGTGGTTGATGGGTATGCTGCAGCAACTTGAAGTGTTGTTTTTTAGACGATCGAGGTTCCATTATAACGCTCCCGGCTCGTTTGTTGGGTGCGCACCGACTGGAGAGATCTACTGGGTTCTGACTTCTGACTTGTTACGCCCTACTCATGCTACGACTTCCCTGGATGTATCCAGTCACAAATACAACCAGATTTGGTCAAAAATGTCCGGTTGCGAGCGAATATGCCTTTAGTCATGGTCTCAACTGGCATCCAGTCTGCTGGCCTCTGGGCCAGTCTCTTTCCTGCAGTCTGCTTCTTGTTCCTTTTCCTTTTGTAAGCTGGGAGAGGTGGGAGAAAGCAAAGCTTGTCCGACCACCTCCATGCACAGTAGGAAAGATATGATGCTGCTGTGTCCAGGTGAAAGGTCGATTCTGGAGTTTAAAGTTTGTAAATAACCAGTAGAAATAATTCAAATAAATATATAAGAAACAACTACGGCTGCGGGGGGGGTTGACCTTCGAATAGGCAAAAATACCACTACATCGCAGTTTTGTCGTGGAGGCAGTTCTGGCTGCGCAAGAAAAGCAAAAGTAACGGTTCTTTTCTTTTGCTGCTTGTTAACTCAGGCCTCTGTTCATGACGTCCTGCCCTTTCCTTTACCGCAAAACTTGACAAAAGCTCTTGGTACATACCAACATATTACCACGCCAATTTTATTGCCTTTTCAAAGTCGGTGTGTGACTGACATGCAGGTGTGTTTTATTTTTTGCCTATTTGAAACTCAAACTTGGCACAGTCGTAGTTGGCTCAGTACATCAAATAGTGACTGGCACTTCCAGTGATTGCAAGTTCCAGTTTGGGAGCAATGGCATGATGTCAGTAAGTTCAGCTGAAAAGCCATGGGACATAACTTTGTTAAGTGTGCGCTGTGCGATTTGCAAATTACTGGCTTGCATTTGCAGCAATTGGCAGTTCTTCTCGATGCTCATGTAACTTTCTTAAGCCTGAGCTGTGCTATGTCAACTGCTTAATGTGTGGAGCCCTCCTGTCATCAGGCGCAATGTCCCACTTACCTCGCTACTCCATTTCTCGGGATCGCTCTTTGCAATGTTTGTGGCCAGAAATGAAGAATCTGTGTAAGTGGGACCTTGTCCCAGAACATTTTATACACAGGCTCTGAAAGTGTGAATCTTGGAATGACATCTTTGACTGGTTTTTGAAATCTAAAAGACTTTCCGCAAAAAAAAAAGGAAAAGAAAAGAAAAAAAAGACACTGGTCACTTTCCCCATTATCGTACGAGTTATTGGATGAGTTCTGAACTTTTGCAGTATGTCTTTTTAACTGTACCTTTCTGATGCGCGAGTTGTTGTCACTGACGTCAAATTCTGTTAGGACTCAGGGGATGTTTCTTTTCAGAAAGACATGACAGTGTCTTGAACTCCGGTCAATTGAGTGAAATGGACAATTAAGTTGAATTAACATTGAATTATGTGCTTTTTCATTGGTGTGTGTTGTGCAGGAAGACAATCGGCTGCGAGAGCTAGTGAACACGTATGGTCCACGAAACTGGTATGTTGTTGAGACAACTTCAGCGAAGATAATGGCTATGATGATGGTGATGATGATGATAGTAATGATGCTGAATGATGATGATGATGATAATGACGATGGTCATTTTGATAATGATGATGACGATGACGATCACAATGGCAATGATGATGATGGGGATGAGCATGATATGCGGAAGACGCAGAGGGAGAATACAAGCCATGCTAACGGACGCGCACCTCATGGAGTTGGATGGCATGTCCTGAATCAGTTGACTTCTGAATGGCTGACTCAGAAGTCAAAGGTAGCTACAATCTGTCCGTGGAGTGTGTGTGTGTATAATGGTCCTGTGAAATTTAGGGGGGGAAATGCCTGTCTTTTTCCCTTTTTCAATTTGGGGAAATGCCTGTCTTTTCCCTTTTTTCCCTTCAAATTTTGAAACATTACACCGTCATTTTTACCCCCGGAGAATTCAAAACCAAACCTCTCTTTCCGAATTCAAATTTGAAGCCGCTTCATTTACACCCCTGCCCTGCCATCCCCTTCATGCACTAATGGTGTCACAGTTTTTCGCACCCTCTCCTCCTTGCCTCCTCCAAAGAGCAATTGCAGATGCTGAAACCGAAGGCCAGTTAAACAGTAATCCGATAGTTCAATTATGTAATATTTTATATTTTTTTTTGAATATTGACTATTATCTCCTTGGCACCCTTGGACTATGAGATGGGGATTCGTTATCAATCTCTGCGCCCCTCACAAATGTGTTTGATCAGCCGGCTTAACGCTGGCATACCGTCCAACCTGGAATCTTTTCGGCAGGCCCCAGTTGGCGGGCGGGGCAGCTTGGCAGCATGTCAGAAATTTTGGTTCGAGGTCTGAGAGTGTCCATATGCACAGGGGCATCCAGTAACGGTAAGGGCATACTTAGAAAGAGAACGGGCCCAAGCGACGTTGAATTTGAACCGCCGTCAGAGAGACATACCAGTGTATGCCTGTTGTTTGAGGGGCACACAACTCAAGGCATCTTTCAGGGCATAATGGAAATTTTTAATTTCCCTTGTTTTAAACCACCAGTACGAAGTCGCCTCCTCCCACTTTTAGCTGTAAACAAGCGGGCCACGCTTTCTATGCACCAACCTGGTGGGGACCAGTCCAAATCGTTCAGGTGCAAAAAAAATAGGCTCACCAATTGAGGGCCTGATGCGGTAATATTTTTTACTGTTACGCTACTCCAGCATCCTCGCTTAGACACTTGACAGCTGGGGATTTGTCATGAGTCTTTGCTTCTTCTTTTTCTTTTCCTCCCCTCCTTCAACTCTGTCACTCTGTTGACCGCTACATTCCTGCACCTATTCTTTTGCATTTTCTTTGAGTTCTTCTAACATGGAAAGAAGAAGAAGAAGAAGAAGAAGAAGAAGAAGAAGAAGAAGAAGAAAAAAGAAGAACAAAGAAGAGGAAGAAGAAGGAAGAAGAAGAAGAAGACGATATTGATAGTATTAAAGAAGAAGAAGAAGAAGAAGAAGAAGAAGAAGAAGAAGAAGAAGAAGAAGAAGAAGAAGAGGAAGAAAGAAGAGGAAGAAAGAATAAGAAAGAGGAAGAAGAAAGATGCAGAAGAAGATGAGAAAGAAAGAATAAGAAAGAGGAAGAAGAAAGAAGATGAGAAAGAAGAAGAAGAAGAAGAAGAAGAAGAAGAAGAAGAAGAAGAAGAAGAAGAAGAAGAAAGAAGAAGAAGAAAAAGAAGAAGAAAGAAGAAGAAGAAGAAAGAAGAAGAAGAAGAAGAAGAAGAAGAAGAAGAAGAAGAAACTTTTTTGTCAGCGTAAATGAGTACACGTTTTTTCTTATATAAAAAAAAAAGAAAAAGGGCGACGGCCTCTAGCAGCCTAGCAGGCAGTCGACCATTGTGTTGACGATGGCAATGTCAGATGGTAATCATCCAGTCTTGGGTATGAATCGTGAAATAGCTGCATCTGGCCAGGCATAAAGAATGTATACTCTATGAAATGACATCCACCACACTGGTGTTGGCTGCTCGACCTACTGTTTTCTTTTCCGGGGTTGAGCTAGGGGAGGAACGGTGGTGGGAGCTCGACGGGGTGTGGTTTGGGGGGGGAGGGGGGTAGAGAAGGGAGGAAGCAGGGACAAGGAAGAGGACAGTGTCCCTTTTCTTTCGAAATTTTGGACCACTTCTCGATCTTTGTATGCCATCCTTGCTTTAGTGGTCATGCTAAATCTTTTCGGTATCGTTCCAATTTCGATGGATGTCCGAAGGACAGAGGAGAGTATGGGCACAGCCCATTTTCCAAGTTGTAGACAGCTGTGCTAGAGTAATCAACTGAAGTTATGGAACTTAGTGGATACAGTCTGATTTCCTCATTCATGTACTGTTCATTAAACATTGTTTCTTTGACCTTCATAACATTCAAATGAGCTGTCAGCACCGGAGTCGTCAGTTTATACTATTTATAGTACTCTATATCGATCCAGAATGGATTGGAACATTATGTCTTCTTTAGGGGGATGTTGTGCCACTATGAGGACATGACAGCCACAGATAGTAGACCAATGGTGTGGATTGAAGGGTGTAACTCTAGAGTCTAGGATGGAGAGATTCACCCTCGATGTTTTCAAGCTCCAGGGGTCATGGATGGGCCACTTTGGTAATCATTAACTTGTTCCAGACATTCAAGTGCCGTAAATGTCAAGATGAAGGAGTTGGCTTGTTAAAACACAAGTCTGGATGGGGTAATGGGAGGTAATTATTGTACAAATATTTCCTTCCATACGATCAAGTTATAGAAAGGATGGCTATTATCATGCATCATTTCCACCAGCGAAGCAGCTCGTGTTTGCACATTCTATTTCAGGCTAAGGTGACGGTAATCACCTACACGAGTTGTACTAGAGATGAGATGGGCTAGTGTGCTCACAAATCCCCCTGCTACCCAGGGCTTGCCAGTACAAAATCATTGAGTTGGTGAGAGAAAACAAAAAGAAAACACGATTTGCTCGCAGTAAACCATAAATTACTGGTGGAAAAGAAGCAGGCCAGGGTACGATTGTTTCAAGGAGAGAAGGAAAGGAATCCGACCAAAGCTTCTCAAAAGGACAATTCCCACAAAAGGAAACAAGGCAGGTTGAAGGTCATGTTCATGACCTGGGTACAACGTAACTTAGAATGTCTGGAGATCCATCCTTAAATATATGTCATCCTCCTAGCCAGCAATTTGGCATTCCTAACCTTCCAGAAAAGGTCATTCCAGAACTGAACTGAAGGGTAAAGGCAATGCTGCAGCATGATTCACGCATAAATTATCGTTTATGTATAGCTTCCAGCCACTGTAGAAGAAGCAAGTGTTGAATTTCACAGGTAGGCTAGGATTCCATTATGATTACAAAGGCTAGTCAAGTGCCCTGAAGCTAAAGCCGGTTGATTTGACTTGACTTGACTGACTATATTCCAGGTGCTGAACAACTTCTGAGTTTTTGTTGGGGTAGGATCACTATGATTTGTGCTCCGACCACATCGCGTGGCTTGGAGTATAGCCTTCGTCTCAAACCACCACCCCCTTTTTTGCAACCACCCTGGTTACCAGGGGACTCCTACATGCGGACACATATCCTCCTCGCCCC